ACAGCCCCACGCTGAAACATTTTGCCCTTCCGTCCAGACTCGGAAAGGCAAAGTGCGTTTAATGAGACATGTCTTGCAATCTCCATCTTGTAACTCCCCATTGAAGAGACAATGAAATTTCATTGGCCCGTACAGTGTAATCCCAGACTTCCATAATGTAATTTGAAATCAAAGAGTCCCCTTCATGATGTCCCTTTATTACTCAAAGCAGCTGGATGGCGCTTTTTTGTGTGGTTTTTTGTATCGGAGCAGGTTATTGGTCTCCAGCAGGCTGAGGATGTGGATCATTTATTGTGGGAAACCAATAAAGCTTCTTTATGACAGTGCCAGGTAGGCTTACATTTGTATCATTGCTTGTAGCCTTTAGTTTTTATCAACATTGTAACACTTGAGTGGTTATATTAGAGGCTGCTGCAGGCCAGTTAGGACCATTGTGGGATTAAACGGTGCGCTCGTGGATTATTCTCTGTATTAATTGCGATTGTGACGTTGACGTTGCGCCTTGAGTGCTTGAGCACACCTTGAGTCACAACATCCTGAGAGGATTAGTTTCCAAAACAAGTTTTCAGAGTGCAGCAGAGTGGAAGACAAAGAGATTAAGACATGTCTGCTTGTCTCATTTTGTATTCAGCTCAAAATATATATATATTTTTCCCCTCGTCACAATTTTCCACTCTTTCAACCCTCCGCGTGTCTCTCCAGCTGTTGCGGTGGCTCGACCAGTTATTCACACATAATTACAATCTATTTAGGAGGAATCAGTGAATAGACCAGCACTCTTAGCAGCTCATTTTCTACTAAATTAACTTGCGCTCCGAACGACTCAAGTACAGGCCTCCTAAATATTTTTGCATTGTCTCTAAGTAAAATAGATTTTTTTTCCATTAGAGCACACTCACACATGAACACAGTGTTGGAATTTGATGAATTGGGACACCGTTAATTGAAATGTTGGTTGTTTTCCTGTAAAAATAGCCCTGTAGTGCTCTGATAGCCTTTATTAGTCTCTGGGGCTGTGTTTAAATGGCACACAGAGAATGTCATGTGTATAAATCTATTACTGCTTGCAGATAAATAAGCTGGTGAAAAATGGGGAAAATACACAAATAAGCTTGATTTGCAGCTTACAGTGTTAACACATTTAGACTTCTTTGTTGTGATAATTATCGTTGTCGAACTTAATTCATATGATTCCGAGTTCATAACTCGTCTATTATAGTTTAGGTAAATCTTACCTGATGGCTGTCCTCCTTCTCTTTGTCTGTACTTTCCTATATGAGACATGATGTACCTCTAAGTGTCACAGTGAATTGAGAACAGCAGGGTGGGAGGTACGCTGCACACTCTGAGCCCACGGGGCACGCCGAGATCAAGCAGTGGAGAGAAACGAGACATTCCCCTGCATACATGAATATCATTCTGGTTAGAGGGGAAGATGAACAAAGGACACCGAAGTTAATGCCTTATCTGGATTTTTAAGTGCACATTATCTATTCTTATTTCACTGACATGCAGGCATAAAGAAACTAAGAAAAAAGGAAAAGCAGCTGTGGTCTTAATGGCATATAAGAAGCATCTACAGTATATTAGGTATTTGTATCTTAACTATCGATCACATGACTGCTTACATGCGGAGGGGGTGGTGGAATTGATCAGTCCTAGTTATCAAAGAGTAAACCCATAAGGGGATAAATGTAGTCTCTGCAGAAGCTCCTTAAAGCTGTAGCTCTTCAAGTCGTCGCCAACAGGCGGCCATACTGCTCGTAGTCTAACCGAATGGAATTATACAAGAAAATAACATTAATGCTAAATTTATTACCGTAGCAAACTCTTGCAAATTGAAAGTCTGATTGAATATGCATGATGTCTATTTGTTTATTTATGTTTGATTTTGTGCAGAAACCGTGATGGTGAAGGTTACAAACTATGAAAACTTTTTAAAGTTTCACTCAGTCAGCCCCAGAGGTTCAGCTTGCTTCCCTCCTGCACTGTCTATATAGGCAGCACACTCAGTTAAAAATCCAAACTCAGTGTGTAAAAACTAGACTCGAGTTGACACGTTGGCATGAGACAGTACGTGCAGCCTATTCAGGTTGCACGGGCAGCCCACAGCTCCTCTAGGATGGCACTTCCATACAAGATGTCAGAAGACGGTTTACTGTGTTTTCCAGCACAGTCTAAAGAGTGTGAGGGAAATACCAGGAGACTGCCATTTGTCAGAAGAGCTGGGCAGGCCTGGAGAAGGGCATAAACCCAGCAGAAGGACCTGCTGCTTTGTGTGAGGAGAAATAGGAGCACTGCCAGAGGCCTACAGAATGACCTTCAGCAGACTACTGACCAAACTGTAGGAGACACAAAGGTGGAAAGAAGGCCTGATGTCCTTTAGTGGGATCAGTGCTCACAGCCCAGCATTGTGCAGCTAGAATATATTAGTCTACTTCTTTAAAGTCAATAACAAGTTTTCTTTCCATGTATTTAAAATATGTAAGATTAGGCTCCCTTAATACTCTGTTTAAATAAAAATTGTGTTTATTACATTAAAAAGAATTATTCATACCCAAGGAGCATGAATAACCAAGATCAGTATCTTCAGAATAGACAAGCCTATGGGATAAAAAAAATGGTGTCCCAGCCACATCAGGTCATTCATCACTTTTTCGTGCCCTCTGCAAACAGCTTTGGAACTCATTACAGTCAGAGCGGCTTGCCATCTTTATGTATTTAGTCGTTTGCTTGTTTTTTCTGTATCTGTAGTGTTTTATTTAAATGCTCAAACCGGTGAGGAGGTTTTCTCCATTTGCTTGCACGCTTGTTTGTGCTGTGTGGAGCTCTCTGGGCAGCTGTGCATGACAAAGGAAGACCTAAGTGGCCAGATGCTGCTCTGCTGGAGGACTGAGATATTGTCGCTGGGCTTAACAATGATGGAATTAGACTTTAAATTAAATTTAATGAAACCTTTAATGTTCCTCCGAATGATTTGCAATAAAATCACTTATCTGCTCAGGGAGTTCCTTTTTATTGCTTTATAGCTGTATTCAAGGTGCCCTTGAGCAAGGCACTTAGCCTACACTTCTTAAGAAGCTAAGCCAGATGTAAATGTGTGCAAATGCACTGTTTATGTATGCTGTCCATTTGTGAAGCAGACCGCATATTCTCTGCAGACCTGGACAAATAAAGGTCAAAAGAATAATGATCATCATTGCCACCAACATTACAGCACTTCAGTATTTCCCTGCTCCCCTTTCTGCCAAACACCCAGAACAAGCTAATTAAATCTTCTGTCGGGCATGGAAATCACTCCGCTTTCATCCTCCCTCCATTCACGTCAGTCACATCAGGAACATGCATAATGACACGTGTTTTAGGGCTGTAATTCCCCTGTGAATGTTAGACATTTCCCTCTGATCGCCCCCGCCCGCATGCTAATCGCTGATGTGGCGCTGTTTTGAGCCTGCTGTCTGTGCGCCGTGCTTGTCGACGACGGACACCTTTTAAAGTGTGCTGATGAGGGTGTGTGGGGGCTTCCTCGAGAGTCAGTTTGAGAGGATATGCAGATCAAACCACTCCACAAAGACACACAGGTTGTTCGAACTCACTCGCACACAGACACACTTTCTCTCAGGGCTAACGCACTGTGTGGCTTTTAAACTTAGCTGCCACTTTTTAGGAGTCTCTAAAAGTAGAAGCAGGAGAGGACAGGTGAGCACAGTTGATCCCGGTGAAAAACAGTTAAAACATTCACAGGACAAAGAGCCAAATTCCCCAGGATGCATGTTTATATAAACTTAGTACAAAAAGAAGGAATTTTGTCTAGCTCAGTTATTTCTTTGATGTAACAATGCTTTGTGGCAATGAATCTTATACTGTTGGAAAGCCAGTTTATTTCCCTTATAATGAGCCCATCTTTGTAAGGTATGAACAGCAGAGTTGAGTATGTGGGTTGCACCAATAAAAAACTTGCCAAATCTGCTTTGGAACCGAACTCTATCCTCCAAGATGGCCACACTCGCCCCCACAGAGCGGGGTTTATCAGAGACTACCTCCAGAATTTGGGAGTGGAGAGGATGGAATGGCCTGTGTGCAGTGCTGACCTCAACCCCACTGAACATTTGTGGGATCAGCTTGGACGTGCTGTTCTTACCAGGGTGACCAACGCAACCACATTGGCTGACTTGCAGCAACTGCTGGTTGAAGAATGGGACGCCATCCCACAGCAGTGTGTGACCAAGCTCGCTACCAGCATGAGGAGGAGGTGCCAGGCTGTTGTGGCTGTGCATGGGTCTTCTGCATGCTACTGAGGCCTCTGTTTGTTAAAAGAAGACATGTTTAACTCGCCAATAGTTCTCGTTGCTTCAGACTTCAATCATCCAATCCAAGACGCCAAAACACCAAACAAGAGCAGCTGTTTGGCATTGGCAAAGAAGATTTGGTAACGTTTTCATGAGCTCAACCCATATACTCAATGTGTTCCTTACAAATGCGGCACCATCAAAGGAAAACAAACAGGCTTTCCAACAGTATAAGATTTAATGGCAAGAAGCATAAAAAAAATCGACCAAACACCTTACTTTTTTTTCTAAGTTTAGTTGTGGTTTATCATAAAAGTTGTGGAGGAATGTCTTCTCTCTGTTGGCCTTCTGCCTCTGTTTGGCTTCTCCTGCTCTCAGCATGTGTGTGATTAAGTGAAGGTGTAATGAATAAGGACAGTGCCCTCTTGTTTGGCCTTGCATTGCTGTTTTCCAGCTGAGAGAGCTAATAACCTGTTAGTGGGGGATTAACTGTGAGATTACACAATACCAAAGTAAAGACTTTTTGGCTTTGGGGATTGGTTTCGAATTTAGTAACAAATTCCAAATCTTTGACAGTGAGGTAATGACAGGAGCTTTCCACATTTGCTCCCGCTGCTCAAAATGTGGGTTTATCGACGTGGTGCTCAGAGTACTTGCGGGCGAATCGGTGGAGATAAAATGAAATTGTCCTGTGTTTGTGTTTTTCCTCAGACGAGTGCGGTGCTGTGTTCGGGAGGCTGTGCTCTGCTGGCTGTCAGCTCCCTGTTGGCCATCATCACCATCTTCCTGCCCAGTGGAGGATGTGAGAGAAGGATCTGCACCCTGGCTGGATACATGCAAATGGCTGCAGGTCGGTAGAGACGTGAAGACACAAGGCACAATCGCATACATACATACCGATCCATAAATGTATAATTTTTGAGATAAGAGATTACCTACTTATGAAAGATGATGAAAAAAATATTTTTAATTGAACTGATTTCAGTTTTTTGCTTCATGCTGTAAGACATCCTTCCATGCTCTATTAGACTATTAGATGCATTCTAATAGCACTGCCTGTTACTGGGATTCTATATAAAAAATACAAATAAACAGCTGAACTTGCCCATCAGTCAAAAACAAGAGCAAAAAAAAGACACAACTTGAGGACAGCTGCAGCTAGGCAACAACAGTCCGCATGGAGGGACTAAGCGAGTGAGATGAAGGCGAGGATGGATTTAGAGCCTGCGGTAAAAAGACAATTATGCCTCCTTAACACAGGTCATTGGTTCAGAGCTACATGTGACTTATCAGGCCGCTGGTTTCCCTCTAACGGAGAAGTGGTCCCGTAAACAGAGAGCAGTCGGCACTTGAGCTTAATAAACCAATAACACACCACGGCTGATGTCGCTGCTTAGTACTGGCCTTCACACTTCTTGCTTTGCGCATTGGACCATTTTAATGGCATGTGGTACAAAAGGTGAAGCATTTTTCTGCAGTTGTATTAGACGATACGGTTCATGTGTGCTTTATTTACAGCAGTGTAATTCCTCATTTGTGCGTTAGACCGGCTCTAATATGTGGAAGACGCTTACTGTGCCTCTCCTGGTTTTAAAAATAAACAGTATTTGATGCAGTAATTCTGTGTACACCAGCGGTCCCCAACCCCGGGCCTCGGACCGGTACCGGTCCGTGAGTCGTTTGGTATCGGGCCGCAAGAGTTGAGGCTCAGGTGTGAAATGTATGGTTTTCAGCGTTTTTATCGGTTTTCAGCGTTATTTTGTTATCGTTTTTATCGTTAACTCGGTTTTCCTGGGTCTTTTCAGGTGTGTTATGAATAAATCTTCTTTTTTTCGGTACCGGTACTAGTTTTATTTTGTTGTATTTATCCGTGACACCTTAAAGGCCGGTCCGTGAAAATATTGTCGGGCATAAACCGGTCCATGGTGCAAAAAAGGTTGGGGACCGCTGGTGTACACACACCATATTAGGGAGGTGACCATGCTGAAAGTTCTACATGTGACGTGAGATTGAGCATCGTGTGTAATAGTCATAGACTGTATATAAAAGATGGAGGTATCATTATGACCTCCATCTTGATGTGGCTGGACGTGACCACGGGGTGGAGTACTAATTCATCAGTCAATTCTTGCAAGCTTCCTTAGCCCCATTTACACAGGATTACAGACTGATTTGGGATTACCTGGCAACCACTGGTCACTAGGGAAAAAAGGAGTATTCCCTGTCGGTGAGTATTTCCTGGAGTATTTCCAGTTTGCCAGCAGTGATTGTTTTGGTCAGTGGCAGAGTTTGCTAGTGCCTCCTCTACTTTCTACAAACACAGCGTTTCCACTGTTGAGAACTGTTTCCTTTTCTGAGAAAGGGCGACTACAGGTGTCCTGACCTGTTTTCTGACATTATATGTAAAAACTTAGGGCTTGAGTTGCCCCTACCCACTCTGTTCAGATGCACAAACCCTTGATTGTTACTTTTTGTCTCCTCTTATTTATTTACATAAACTTTGTCCTCATCTATAGCTTATTTAGAACCCTGCAAGTGGCATTTAACTAAGCATAATTAGAGACTAGATTCATTGGCCAGGTTAAATCTTTATTGACAAAGGTGGACTTTCACAGGCTATGGTTAATGATGTGTTTAAAGTGGTTCTTATTGCTTACAGCCAGACTCTCATACCTCTGTCTGACTCCAGTATCAGATCAATGTTGCTTTGGGAAAATGAGAATGAGTCTTTGGCAAGCCTCTGGTGCGTGTTTTTTTCATGTGTGTGTGTGTGTAATCCAGTTCTGTGTGTCTATTATAGCTACAGCTTTTGCTAAATAACAATGCGAAGTGAGGAGCTGGGTCTTTGTTCCGTTTCCAGGTTGACTCTTGTCTAGATAGACAGAGGTTTCACAGAGCCCACAAAGCCCCGAGGAGGGTAGATCAGAAGAGTGTTTGTTTTCCCAGCACTACAAGTATGTGTGTAAGTGTTGAGAGAGTGCTATCAAAGTGGGCTGATAAAATGTAGCAAGCAGATTAAGAACAATGGTTTTCTTTGTGGTGTGCATATCATCAGTTTGGCTTTTGACGGTGTGAGTTTTCTCGCAGATTGGAAGAAATGAACTGCTGGCAAGATTCTCTTTGTCACCTTTCTCCTTCCAGCAAGAAGTGAAACCTGTTTTGATCCCCATGTTTTCTATAGTGACTGTGACAGACAGTGGAAATGTCAACATCCACATGTTGTGCTGTGTTACTATATTTTGGGGTGCTGAAAGTAACTGAGTCAAAAGAAGTGGAGAACATTTTGCTCATCACTACTTAGTTCAGAGTTGATTGGAATGGATTAGAGTAAGGTGTGAATATACAAAGATTCTGACCACGTCATGATCCACCTAATCCCCGCGTACAGACAGAGGCTGAAGCTCTCCAAACCTGTCGTGAGGACCAAAAAACTGTGGAGCAACAAGGCTGTGGAGGAGCTTCGCACGTGTTTGGAGTCTACAGACTGGGACACAATGAAGGCTGCTTCTAACAGCTTGGACGAGTTTACGGACACTGTCACCTCCTATATCCACTTCTGTGAGGACAGCATTGTGCCATCACGCACCAGGGTGAGTTATAACAACGACAAACCCTGATATACTCCTAAACTCAAAAAGCTGTGGCTGGAAAAGAGAAAGGCGTTCAGAAGCGGAGACAGGGACTGCTACAGAGAGGCCAAGTACAGGTTCACTAAAGAAGTGGACGTTGCTAAACATCAGCACTCTGAGAAGATGCAGCAGCAGATCTCAGAGAATGACTCAACTTTTACTGCCGTTTTGACGAGTCATCAGGCAGCCTTCACACCTCCAACGGCCCCAACAATAGAGGCACTTTGGACACTCATTCCCCCACCTCTCCCCCCTCCATAGAGCCATCACCACCTTCAAACACTTCACCTACAACACCCCTCCTCACCCCACACAAAAGAGGATTTCACACCACCTCCTCCCACCACAACTCTTCATATTCATGAAGCAGGTGTGAGGAAGCAGTTTAAGAGTCTGAATGCTCGGAAAGCTCCCGGCCCAGACGGTGTGTCTCCTGCCACCCTCAGACACTGTGCAAACGAGCTGGCCCCAGTGTTTTCTGGCATTTTCAACTCCTCACTGCAGGCATGTCATGTGCCTGCCTGCTTCAAGTCCTCTACCATAATCCCTGTCCCCAAGAAACCTAGGATCACTGGACTAAATGACTACAGACCCGTGGCTCTGACATCTGTGGTCATGAAGTCATTTGAGCGCCTGGTTCTCTCCTATCTCAAGACCCTCACGGCCCCCCTCCTGGACCCCCTGCAGTTTGCATACAGAGCCAACAGGTCTGTAGATGACGCCATCAACATGGCCCTACACTTCATCCTGCAGCATCTGGACTCCCCAGGAACCTACGCCAGGATCCTGTTTGTGGACTTCAGCTCTGCCTTCAATACCATCCTTCCAGACCATCTCCGAGGCAAGCTTTCCCAGATGAATGTGCCTGATCCCATCTGCCGGTGGATCACTGACTTCCTGTCGGACAGGAAGCAGCATGTGAGGCTGGGAAAGAATGTCTCGGACTCCTGGACCATCAGCACCGGCTCCCCTCAGGGCTGTGTTCTTTCTCCCCTGCTCTTCTCCCTGTATACCAACTGCTGCACCTCCACCCACCAGTCTGTCAAGCTAATCAAGTTTGCAGATGACACCACCGTTATTGGACTCATCTCGGACGGGGACGAGTCTGCCTACAGGAGGGAGGTTGAACGTCTGGTGTCTTGGTGCAGCCACAACAACCTGGTGCTGAATGCCCAGAAGACAGTGGAGATTATTGTGGACTTCAGGAAGCACACAGCCCCACTCCCCCCCATCATCCTGACTGACACCCCCATCACCTCTGTGGACTCATTCCGCTTCCTGGGTACCACCATCACCCAGGACCTGAAGTGGGAGCCCACCATCACCTCCATCATTAAGAAAGCCCAGCAGAGGATGTCCTTCCTGAGGCAGCTGAAGAAATTCAACCTGCCAACACAGACGATGATGCAATTCTACACTGCAATCATCGAGTCCATCCTCGCCTCCTCCATCACCGTGTGGTACGCTGGAGCCACTATCAGGGACAAACAGAGACTGCAGCGTGTTGTGCGCTCTGCTGAGAAGGTGATTGGCTGCAGACTCCCATCTCTGCAGGACCTGTACACCTCCAGGACACTGGGGCGTGCAGCTCGGATCTCAGCTGACCCTTCTCACCCTGGACACAGTCTGTTTGACCTGCTCCCCTCAGGCAGGAGGCTCCGGTCCATTCGCACCAGAACCTCTCGCCATAAGAACAGTTTCTTCCCCTCTGCTGTTGAACACATGAACAATAATCGTATGACTGTTCCCACCACTAACACATGACCCTACGCTGTGTTCACTGCATCATTCCATGTTTGGCACTGATCACCACCTGCACTCATATATCTATCTATCTACTTAGCACTTTTAATTCTTATTCTTATTTTTATTTTTTCATGTCTATTTAAGCGTAATTTATGACAGTATGTTTGCACTGAAGCACCGCAGCAATTTGCTAATGTTGTAAACCTGCTCAACATTTGGCAATAAAACCCTTTCTGATTCTGATTCTGATTCTGATTTGAGCTTTAGTCACTTAGAAGAGGTGTTTCATGTTTCATTAAAGCAACATTAGATAGAGTGCAAACTAATGGAGCAGAATAGATAGCAAGGATGTATTTGATGGATGAAATGTGTAGATGATATATAAACTGATGTGATTATGCCATTTAAAAAATTGCATGCCTTTGATGTTTTGCATTGTCTAATGTTTAGATTGTCTATGAGTGTTGCTTTCACC